CTGTCTGTTTGGATTTCATTAATGAAAATAAAAATGATATCAATAAAAAAAAGCAAATACAACAACAATGATGACCACTGAAATTTTTAAATGCTACAAAAAAGCAGGCAAAACAGACCCAAGGCCAAAAAACTGAAGCGCACAAGATAATTTCAACGTCCGGCGATACACTAAAAAACTGAAGCCTCGACATCATGACAAAGCAGACTCTGGGACAAACTCTAACAGGAACCAGTCGATCGTCATCAACCAGTAGGAATGATGTTATCATTTCTTTGGATTGATTACCTTTATGCAAAGAATAATCCAATAATTGCTGAATATTATTGTAGTTTCATTCGAATCTGTAGAATAAACAGCTTTTGACACATTGTTTTAAGTTAGTTTTTACAATAACTTTCAGTGGATATCAAGTGTCACTGAGAGATATCTGCCTAGAAAGGTATTCAAAATGCAACTCTTTGCATCAAAAAATTAATAGTTAGTAAAAAAAAATCCTGCTTTGTGGTCAATAAAAATATCCATCAACAGCATGCTTTCTGATGCCCAGAACGCTGGAAATCGCATTTCCGAGCTTCTAGATTTCCAATTTTTCTTGGGGGCGGGGATGTCCCCAGAGCCCCCCTAGGGGAAAGGGACCTTATGGCCCCCTTAGTGGTCACAGCCGCCTATTACACCTTCAGTAGCCGCTCTTAACTAATGTTATTGAAACTCCTGCTTTAGTCACAAAAGTCCTCAGTTATTATCATGAAAGCGTCTCTACTTCTCACCTTTCTCTTAGTTCCGTTATAACTGCACAGAGATCTACTGTCGTGAATCTATTCTTCATTTTGGCGACACAAATTCGGGAAAAGAACAAGAAAAACTACGTGAAAATACAAGAACAAGTTAGATTTTTACTTTCTCGCCGATTCATCCGCCATGTCCGCCATATTGGATATTAGTTGCACATGGCTTTCAACAGTAAACCGCTGGTGAAGAGAGTCCCTTGGCATTCTCGTCCCCAGAGGCCGCGCCCCTTTTTCGGTGCTGAACTGGTTAGCTCCCAACCAGAAGTCGATTAGCCCCCATATTCACGCCTAAAGAACGAGAAATAGACAGTGTTTTCGACTTCTGGTAGGGGGCTAATGGACTTCAAGATGGGGGCTAACGGCCGGTTACCCTTCGTGCGAGAAGCCCCCACAGCCCCCCAACCCCAGTCCTTTACCACAAATACCCCTACAGAGACGTTCAGCGCCTAGAATTTTCACCATCTGCAACCTATCTGTACCCCTCTGATCTGATTTATGTCTTCTTTTTTATAGAGCAAAGAATGCCCGAGTTTCTTTTGAAGCTGTGTGACATTAAGGGTAAGACTTACTCGAAACATTGACCAAAGACAAGAGAGGTTGATTCGATCATCCTCTCTTGCCAAAGAATTTTTTATTCTCTTGGAATGAGAAAATTCTTCCAGCTTACAGCAGAGCGACACGAGAGACTACATCACGAAGCACGAGTCAAGTTCTTTTCCTGCGCGGTCAACAGGCAGTATCGCGCCGGTAAAGAAATATCCCAAAAATATGCGCGCCCAAAGAGTAAACCTGGATCAAGCCTAGAGAATGGTGGACGCGGGAGGCGGGAGGTGACTCTCATATGAATAAAACGGGGATGCTCGTCGGAGCTAAATAAACCCTTAAAAGAGACTAATATGGGCGTGGTTGGAGCTTTATTTGATCCCTAAAAGCTCCCTCTTTAAACGGAATAGGTTCGATTACCAACCGCTGTTTAGGAGAGGAGTCCTCGTTAGTTGACCAGTCTCGAGAGACCAGCGGAAATCAAGCCTAAAGACAGAAATAAAAATGGTTTTTAATTATTATTTCTTTGAGTGCACTCTAAAAGATACCATAATTGACAGCAAAAAGTAGTGGCGTTTGGTCATGAACACCCAAGTGAGACCAGAATCCTTGATTATACCCCGAACATTCTCGATCTTTTCATATGGGAGTCGTCCCCCCAGGGGGTGACTGAGGGGTTCTGGATCACATTTTACGGGAAAAAAAAAAGAAGGCCAATTCGCAATTCACGGAAAGTAAAATAGGCCTTTCACGTTTCATAAAAGAAATGGAGACATTTTCCGCATGAACCTAGAAAGCTTATGAAGTTTTGGAACTTCAAGTCACAGGGAAAATTAAGGCCTTTGACAATATCATTTACCACCCTCCGTCTATGCAAGAAGCCACATGACCGAAACAGGCGGTAAAAATGGATCATTTTTAAGGACACGAACATGCACGGGCGGAACAAATACCCATCCATATGAAGTACATCACACCTCCTTTTTTCGGCCAAACCGGATACGATGCGCAGAGCCAAACTACACGTGCGATGGACAGCTAACTTCGGTCTGGGTGAGATTCATCAGCTTGGCATAGCCAGACAGGATGTGTCATTATTCAAGACTGAAAGAATCAACTCGGAATCACTCAAGACATGCTAGAGGCCCACTGAAGGATGTCTCTTTGTCACCTTTAGCTCCACTGAAGGTTAAGTTTATACTGTTAATGGGCCCCAGTGACTACCAACCCTTGATCGAACGTACTCGTGAAACAAGATGAAAAAGCGAAACAGGATTTGAGATCGGAGGTGGGGAGGAGTGGAGCCGATCGCGAGTGACAGTATCCCTTTGACAAAAATGCACCAATCCTCTCTTGTTTTCCTATCTTAAGGTTAAAGTTAAATTAAACGGTATAACTCTTACGTGCGACCAGGTTATGGAAAGTCTTAAACACTAACTTGCTCGTGAGCCTGTGAACAGGCGCCCTAATGGTGTCAGCAGCAAAATAATAAAAATATGGAGAGCTGTGGAAAGCCACCCATAGGCGACCTGGGAACTTTCTATTTTGTCGTACTACCCTTCATTAAAGAGTACTGTTCACTGAAGGCCAGCTTAAAACTGTATTTCAACGTACAACCCAGAAACTTAAGCAAGTTTTAAACCTCTACGAGAATCAAAGCTGCTAGCTGTAGCGTCCAGATCAGCTAGATGGGACATCGCGACTTACCGCAGTGATTTTCGACTTGAAGGAAGATATATCATCAGGCATACACAGCCGAATTGACATTTTTGTACAATACACCAAGCAGCAACAAGAATATGTTTGCCATCCTTTATTGCTAAATAATTACTACGGTTAATTTATTACAAAAGCTGTTTACCATTCAAATGTATTCACTCAAATGTAGCTCATTGGCTACTTTGGTCACTGTACACAATTAAATATTGTTTCTTCTAGTTAATTTCTATCTGTATTTATTTTTCCTATATCATTGTAAACCATCTTACGTTAGGTTGTTTTTCTGTAAATAGTGTGCGATAAAAAAAAAACTGAAACTGAAACACTCTGCTTTAGCTGTATACATGTATTAGAAAATCTGTTTATTGTAGCAACTTTTATTCTTTAAAATATATCTAATTTCTTCTTTTGTACAATCATAAAGTTTACGTGGAGTTTCCTCACATAATCAATCAATTAATCATTTATTAAGACGCGTAACGTCTGGCTTTGAGCTAAAAGTAAGTACAAACTACATACGTGTTAACAAAACGTAGTAATAATCTCTTGGGGATACATTTATAACAGGGAAATCACAGCAGATCCTTTGTAGCTCTTAGAGCTGGAAAATCTGTACAGCATACTTAACCAATCAGATACAAAACGGTTCGCGCCTCTTTTCACGCGCTTGCTACAGGCCAGGTTGATAAGTATCACAGTGAATACCTCGAGCTCATTCGCTGATATATAGGACTAAATAAGCTCCCATTAGAAGCGCGAAGGAAGACAATATGTGCCATAGGTCATGGTAATCAAAGAAACCCACTACCGCGCAGGCTTGGTTCAGATCACGAGAGATTTCGGGAGGTTTCACTTTATCTGTCGTTGCCTTCAGGGAAAAAATCCAGACCGCAGTACCCATAACCCCTAGCGTGGCCAAAACATACGAGCCTTGGAAGATGCGGAATGCAACTTTTTTAATCGTCCAATGAGAGCGCTCGCTTCGCCAGAACTTAATCACAACTTTGCCAATAATGGCAAGAAGGCAAGCTAATATGCAACTGAACAAAAACATGTTCGGAAAATTTGTTTTAAACAACACGGGGAGAACAATGCTCCCAAGCGCCACGATTACAATGAATATCACAGCCTTCGTTAGCGCATCGCACCTTTTAAAATCGCCCCAACTTGATATGTTGTAAAATAGCTTTACACCCGCCCATGAAAAAATGATGATATAATATACTACCAGACAAAGTACAAAAAAAATTTGCATTCCTAAACTCAAGCTCTCAGTATTGGAATAGTACAAAGAACCGAAGTAATTGAACACATACAGCGGAACTATGAAGTAAAGGAAAAAATTGCTGGCATCCACAGGCTGTTGGATTTCCTGACCATTAGCGCACTCTTTGAAACTGATGCCATTGTACAATGAAAGAACAATCAAACCTGAAATGACGAACATGAACGCAGTATCGAACTGGAAAGTTAATTTGGTGGGGCAAAAATGATATAACATGGAAAAGCAACCCTCAAAAATTAACCCCCAGGCAAAGGCGTAGCCGATGGAAAAGGTATATTTTCTCTTATGCGCTTCAGCATGCAATAAAATGGCTTCCTCTGGGTTGGTTAGTAGAGGTGGAACAGACATTGTAGCAAAATGCGCATTAATGTTGGGGCATTTCAGGACATGCTTAGGCAGTTCAACTTGATTAACGGGCAGACGGGGGGTTTTGAGTCTGTTCCTGCGTTCCATTCTATGACACCAGGCCAGCAGCTCAGCTTCCATGATCCACACGGACCAACAGAGAATCAAGCCGTGAATCATGTACGCTAAATTGCTTATCATCAAGTTGAACGGGATGTCATATCCACTCACTCTATAGCACAGGTCATTGTAATAACACCTGTCCCTGTCGCCATCCTGGATCATCAGATGCCAATCTTCAAAGACAAACTGAAACGCGCCCACCAAAAGGACAAAGCCAACAATGCACGTGGTGTAAGAGAACGTCTTGGGTCCTTTAGTGAACCAGTGGTGAAACAAAACGTTTTTCATGGCACGAGCCACTTCCTTCCAGGTCAATGGTTTCCGGTCTCTTGATCCGCGCAACAGTGGGCGTAGCTCGTCACTTTCTCCTCCGTTTTGTCCCCAGCAAGACGAAAACAGGCTTTTTAGATTGGCTTTAAAGCCAGTGCCAGAAATAGAGAAACTGGCATTAGTAGTGTCATCAAGGTGACTGTCCTCGTGCGCTAGGATATACGGCTCTCTGAAACATAACAACGCCCACAACGCCACCACGATACCTCCAAAGAAAGACGTACCGATTAAAAAATAGAACGGTTTACCGTAGTCGTAGTCAAACGAGCTTGTCAGAGTTAATCGTACAGTTTTTGTGACATTTCCACCATCAGGTTTGTCCTTCAGTGCTATGCCGATGAACCAGGCGGCGTCCGAATCTTTCAGAGGAGGTACAGAAGCTTTAGACAGAGTAATCCGCCCCTTTTTATCAAAGCTTAGCCTCAAAGATCCGCCATTGTAATCAAGATACTTAATGTCGTTAGCTGCGACCTTTTTGCAAGTGTGGGACACTTTTAAGTAAGCTGAAATCGTTGAATTTGACTCCACGGTGATATCGAGTTGTTTCTTGGAGATTCCCTTCATTGGCTTGAACTGAAATATCTGCGATGGGGACTGTGTTGAGATGTCAAAGCTCACTTCTTTACCTAATGTCACATTCGGCACGTCATCATAAATTTCAGCAGTGTAACTTACGTTTGGGGTTCCTGTAAATTGCACCAGATAACCCTGGCCAGATTTCTGTGGGCACGTGCTCATCTTTCTCCAGGAGCCAGTAACAGGAATATCTAGCTGACCTAGCGAAGCCTCATCAGCATCATAGACTGCCACATGAAGTGCTCCTAGCAGAACAAAGAGATTAGCGGCAAATTAATTAGTTTCTAGAGAAACCTCTGTGCTGGTTTGCGTGCGAGTGAACAAATGCGTTGAGTCTTTGTTTGGGCATGACTCATTCAGACTCATTCAGCTTCATTGATGAGGCCCCGTCCACACTACGTGGGAGAAGTTTGAAAACGACGTCGTCACTCTGAAAACGCAGACGCCTAGTTTTCACGACAGCGCATCAAATGTTTTCCGTCCACACTACGCCGGAGAAATTTGAAACCGCAATAATCACCGGTCTTTTTAGATTTGAGCAAACCTCAGGCAGGCAGGGAAATCACATTATGATGTCATTATTATGTCATCGTTTTCGTCCAGATGAAAACGAAAAGCTGGGGTTTTCAAATTTCTCCGGTTTGAAGAGCAAAGAGCGTTTTTGAAAAAGGTCCGTTTTGGTAACGGATTACTGTAGAAGGTAGACCTCATCGTAAAAGTAAAGCTACATTTTCAAATTTCTCCTGCGTAGTATGGACGGAGCCTTAATTATCGAAGCCTGTTCCAGGCTCTCGGTCAGTGTGGACGATCGAAAAAGCGGGAGGGCGACGAGCGGGATCAGCGACGAGCGGGATCAGGTACGAGCGGGTATCCTTTTCTGTCCCAGACCCTGCTCGTCGACCGCTTGCTTGTTCCAGTCGAGCGATTTTATATCAATTCTAAGAATTGTAACGCAATACCGCTCACGCAACTCATTCCGATTGTCCGAAGAATTTGAAACTGGAAGCTTTCCGTGAATAGATGCCACTCGCGTCAGAAATTTGAAATTTTACAACATCGCTAAGTAAAAATTCGAAGGATTTTATAGTGATTACTGACTGTTGTGACGTATTTTTGAGACAAATCACATTTAAGTGTTGCTATATTAAATAGTCCGCGGAACTGGTTCCCTAGCGATGGAAATTAAAATGAACCCCGTAAGAAAACATAGAGAACAGTAGCCTAACAGAAGCACTTTATATGCACTCCTTCCCAAGCAATAACAAGAGGAGAAACCCTTAGCCAACAATGAGGCACTTTCGGTTTGTGTAACATAATTTTTGTGTTCGATCGGTATATAAACTACAAGCGCATAAGCAACATTCTCCCAACGGTGTGAAATGAAATACGAACCAACCTACCGCGAGTTGCTCCATAAGTCTTGGCTTTAACATGTAAGAAACTTTCCTTTGAGTCCGTCCTTACGATACACGAGTGAGACAGTGTTCTGGAAAGCGGAAGTTGCCTGGCAAACGTGAGCGGATTAATCGATGGCGACAAATTTTGCTCTGGTCCTTCTTTCAGTTTCGTGCCATCAAAACTGCATTCATAAACAAGGCCTGCGCATAATACAGACCAAATCATGCAGAGCAGCTGAGTAAAAGCCAACCGGAGCATGGTCGATCGTTTGAACGACCAAAGAGTGATGCCAGAATATATTTATAACGTTACCTGTGACGTTGCTTTCAGAGCGGAACTTGATGCCGGAAACTACGGGTCACGTGAATATGAGAGACCAATAGGAAACCCGTCATTTTTCCGGGAAAACCATGCGTCTAAAATT